CGGTATATCGGCATACTGCCAACGCAGCGCCAAACAGGATTGAACTCGTCTCTCCCAGGTCACCGCTGCCCTCAAGGTACTGAGGCAGCAGTCCATTTGTGGCCTCAATGGCATCCCGCGTCGCCACATTTGGATATATCCGGGGAAGCTTCGGTCTCTCTTCGAGGGGAGTTCTTCGGATCTCTAGAATCGCCTCCTCTAGTATGCTCCTCATATGCTCTATATCCTGGGAAGTTGTTCCGTCCGCATCCGCTTCTGAAAGCGTTTCGGCAACCACCTCTACGCTAGGTAGCACGTCTGAGATGGGTTGCTCTACGGTCGCGGAATTTGCTTCTGGAACAACTTCACTTCGCAATCGTTCGAGTTCGGTCGCGCTAAACATACCAGAGCGCTGTATGTACCGAACTCTGTCGGCTAGGTTCTGTTCCGAGACGTTATTATTATTATTATTATTATATTATTATATTATTAGTATTGTACTAGTATTGTTCTATTTGATTCGTTTTCTTCAGAAACACACGAGGTAGCGGGCGAAAACTAGTCGTGTACAAAATTATTATCATTCATTGTTGTAAAATCATTTATCTGATCACACAATCCCAATAAAATGATCATAAAATGATCATAAAACTGTACCTATAGTGCGTGTAACATGGGTCGCGGTACGTTCAACAATACAGTCGAATGGCATCTTCATAACTTCTCCATTATTACGTACGTCTTTAGTCATAGATTAACGATGAATAATGTGCAGACGTGACACTGTTATTTTCAACCGATTTCAATGAGAACGAGGTTCTCAGTTCGATCGTATTTTTTTATGTTTGTTACCTCATAACTCCGTTAGTTGTAAATCGATTTGGAAAATTCTATTTTCTCTGAGAGGATATGTACTATATCACATACTTTAGCCTTTGCCATTCTAAGTTGTATAAAAAAAAATAAAAAAAATATATTTATAACTCCCGCTGGACATCTACAAATCACTAGCGCGTACGTGAATAATTCTATCTCGTTCTAACAATAATAATAAACGTAACAATGTCTTTTCTCTTTTATATTACCCCTCATTATATGTTTTCATCTATAGAACCTAGAACTAACCGATAACACTAGGTCGAACGGGTCTTATGGGTTAACGACTGTGAAAAAATATTAAACTTTATGGTTGCTCGTAGCCATAAAAGTTAACAACTCTGTCGCGTTGCATAGTCTATGGTTAGGTTCGCTATGCCAATGAAAGGAGTCATATCTTTTTGTCGTTGCACGTTGGATAGACTGTTGAACAGTACAATACTCGTTTTATGGGATATGCTTACGTTGTTTGTCGATATGTTAGACATTTCACACGTCATGCGATTTGTACATAATCGTACTCCATTGGGGCGACAGGGATTGTTTATAATGTGGTCCAACAGGTCTATTATTAGCAATATACCCTAACAGGTCGACCTGGGGGGATAGGGATTGTTAGTAATGGAGACTGAGAATCCCATTGCTAGCAATATACCCAACCAGGTCGACCTCCTCGCGGTTCCCCCTGGATACTATCATGGTTAATTCCTAATGAATTCATCATGATGGGCTAACTGGTCTGTTTTCATTCTCATCCATCACCCTTCACTGGTGCTCCGCCAGCGTATACCGTTAGCACAGGCGGGTTTACCATACCATTTTAACCCATCAAAACAGGTCGACCTCGACGCAGTTCCACCTAGAAATCATCGTGATTATTTTTTGATGAATTCATCACGATGGGTCAAGTGACCTGCTTCATCTTCACCTATCATCCCTCACTGGTCCCCCGCCAGCGTATCCTGATAGCGCAGGCGGGGTTACTATTCTATTTTTATCCATTAAAAAAAAACATATTCCATTTTAAATTTCTTTTTTCTGAACGAGCCTTAACGCATCTGATTCTGACAGTCGACTTTTTAATACATATATATTCAACTACTTTGTAAATATATCAGAGGGAGACTTTGTACAAAAGTCGATTGCTTGGGTATCTCTGTCCCATTCGTGTTTCAACCGTGAAGCAGTTGTGTTTGCATGGCTGTGTTTCGGTTTGAAGGGTGGGATATGGCGTGAATTTACTGGGTACAGAGGAATAACACCTGAGTCCTCAGGAATGGCAACCCATGGGCGGTATCATGGGCGAAACAGTATACTCTGTTATGTCCATGGTACTGCTCATGTCTATATGCGATGGTTACCACTTTCCATCAGGTGGGCCGTCAGCTTGTTTGCCATTCTAAGTTGTATAAAAAAAATATCCTTTCAGATAAAAAAATAATTTTTCAAATCGGTTAAAACTGACGGAGGTTATGAGGTTAGAAAAAATACCGCATTTAAAACCTCTTTTTTGTGAAGTCGGTAGAAAAATATTAAAAATAAAAATGATCGCGTCTCGTAACGTGCGAACGAACGGACAGACTCGTCAAGTTCGTAAAATATTTATGTTAATGTTTATGCAGGCAATATCGTTTCTAAGTTACTCATCGGTAGGTTGACGAGTATGCAATTGCAGTGTCTGATTGTAAATCAACTATAAAGGCGCTGTCTTCGAGAATAGTAATCCTTAGTAATCCTACTTTTTTTTTTGATGGATGAAAATGGTACGGTTACCCCGCCTGCGCTAACGGGATACGCTGACGGAGCACCAGTGAAGGGTGATAGATGAGAATGAAAACAGGCCAGTTAGCCCATCATGATGAATTCATCTGGAATTAACCATGATAGTTTCCAGAAGAAACCGCGAGGAGGTCGACCTGGTTGGGTATATTGCTAGCAATGGGATTTTTAGTCTCCATTACTAACAATCCCTTTCCCCCCTAGTAATCCTACTATAGTAATATAATTACTATTTACATTAATATTATAAATAGGAAAGATTTATTTGGAAATCACATTTTCTTTCCCTTGAGTAATTTTTTTTTGTATTGTTCTAATTGAACTGTCAAATCTTAAAATCATTAAACGAAATTTCTAATGTAAATAGTATATTCATTTATTTTAACATTTATTATATAAGTAGGTGGGTATTTATAGTAAGGATATTCTTACCATTGTCATTTAAGAACTTTTTAGAATGTTGAAGACCCTTCAATGTCTTCCATTCCTTTTGCTGTTTTTTCCTCACATACTCCTCAAGGGCAGAGTTAACAACACTTGATGCAAGTGCAACATATGGTTCGGGACCTATCATTTTTGATTCTGATCCCTTTCTCGCCAACTCATCGGCCATTTCATTATCTTTAATCCCAATATGTCCAGGGACCCATATCAAACTAACCCTATTATGCCTACCCATAATTATAATAAGGATAACTAATAAGGATGTTCTAAATCAATATATTTATATAAAAAAAAAATAGAGATCCCTACAAATATTACAGTAGTGAAACCCACGGTATAAATTTGCCTATAAAAGCTACAATAACTTATCTTTCTATCTATCTATCCATCCGTGTGAAGTCGAGGCAAAACACTAGTTATTATAAATTGTCGACCACAAGAACCGACCTATGCTTTACTGTATACAATTCCAGTATTCCAAACAACGCTGTGAGAAAGAATACTCTGGAATCGATTAGAAAAACTTTATTTTTAGGGTTCCGTAGCTCTAAAGGAAAAAACGGAACCCTTATAGCATCAGTTCGTTATTCATCCGTCTGTCAAGACTCTTTTTTTTAAAAAAGCGTGAAGGTATCAAGTTAAAATTAATATCATATACTCAGGTCTGCGATCTCTTAGAGCAGTGAAAGAGTCAAGCTTCTAAATCGACGCAATCAAAAGATACGGCCGTTTACGTTCCATTTATATCGCATATTTTGACATGCGCAAAGGGAATCAAAGCCTATAAGGTACTTCCCGTTGACCTAGAACTATGAAATTTAACAAGAAGCAATGCCATGTAGCACAAGTAAAAGAAAAAAATATAAAAACCGTAATTTTGTATTTATTTTATATATTTTTTTTAATCTACGTTTAATTTGGGATTTTTGTTTTTTAACATGTCAATCCCATAAAATCTATAATTATAACTAAACAATACTATTTACTAATAAACTTAAGCACAAAGCAATTTTGGTAGTAGCAGCATGCATTATGCTCTGAATAATACCCACATCAAAAAAAAAAATTTAAATTTGATGTTTTTTCAATATATTCCTTCAATTCAATAATGCACTGCCTTATTATTATTTACTATTATAATTATTATATTATTATCCTTATTTCTCTGTTCGCCCAATGGTTGACTAGTAGAGAACACCGTCCGGTGTTAAGTCCGTCATATGTTCATAATGTCATTGTGCATTAAAGTTTAAATAAATAAAAAAATATGTACAGAACCCTCGTTGCACGAGTCCGACTCGCACTTGACCGGCTTTCTTCTGCTAATATCTCTAAAGCTTTGATGCCGTGTGATCGACAACTGTGATCGATGTGAATCGATACTTATTAACAAACAATCCTAATGAAGTAACGCTGCTGAATATACGAATATACGATAGGCTTACAACAATGACAATAGTAAAGCGGTTACTAGGAAATGTTCATAAAATAAATAGTGTACAGACAAATAATAATTAACGATTTGTTAATACATAGTATAAAGTCGCTGTCGCTGTCTGTCCGTCCCTATGTGTGCTTAAATCTTTAAAACTACGCAACGAATTTTGCGTAAACTATATGATGTTCTCAGTCTTGTCTTTTTTTTTTCTTGATGGCAATTCATACTATAAGGTATACTTCATATTATAAGGTGTATTTTTTTCTTGTAGTTGGCAACATTTTTTTTTTAAATCCGTCAGCATTTAATTTAAATATCCTAATTCTTCTAACCGCTACGTCACCGTATCGTCCAGTCGTATTCGTTTTAAAATAAGAACATTAACATTCGAATTTGCTGTTGTTTAACCAAAATCTACCCGTATATTTTAGTTCTAAATTCAAATTTAAATTTCGAATTTCGTATAAGAAAAACGTAATATCACCTGTGTTATCATAGTGATGCAGCAAACCAGTAGACCGGCGCAGAACGACGTAGCAGCCAGCATGTTCACGCTCGTCGAGAGGGAGGTAGCGAGCCAAGCTACCGTGTACGGTAACGCCACCGCGAGTAACACTCTTCTCCGGCCGAGGCGCATCGCCAACCCGCCAATAATACCGCCCACTAAGGCACCTGTGGACAAGGAAAATATTTTTCTTTTTCACTGAGGTTTTTAAAAAAGGACGCATTAAGATTGCAACAAGTGACAAAACCCCTCTAGTCGGAGTATTCTGTTCAGCAGTGGACTATTAAAAGCTAGTATGATGATAATGAACTTTCATCCGATACATATATGTATATGTATATATATATATATATATATATATATATATATATATATATATATATATATAAGAAAGAATAGAAGAGGCAAAATGCTGGGCCACCTTATACGACATGACGATTTTTTTAAGAGCATAATAGAAGGAAAGATAGAGGGTAAAAGAGGAAGAGGAAGACCGAGGAATAACTACATGGGACAGATAAAGGAAACACTAGGCGTCATGTCGTATAGGGAGATAAAGGATATGGCCTGGGATAGAGCTGGCTGGAGGAAGATGCATGAATTAGTTGCACCGACAAGAGGAAACTCTTAAATGAAAAGAGAGAGCTTCTTCATCTCAAATATTACATATATACTGAATTATCATGATGATTTGTTGTCATAACTACTTCACCAATTCGTATGAAATTTGACATACGTATAGTATTTGAAATGGAAAAGGACATAGGTGACTTTTCATGTTCGCCAATCAACATTTTACGATCACATGGTCGAAGTCGCGGGTAAAAACTGGTAATTATAACTTATGCTTAGGTAAGTAGGGTTGCCAACCGTACCAGTCCAAAAACTATAAAATGTCCACATAGTGTTTATTTATTTATTTATTTATTTTTAGAAAAAACATACAGCCTCGTCCGATCAATACATAGTTAAAATTACATCTATGATTTTTTTTTTATTGGATGAAAATGGTAACACCGCCTGCACTAATGGGATACGCTGACGGGGCACCAGTGAATGGTGATCGATAAAGATGAAAACAGGCCAGTTAGCCCATCATGATGAATTCATCAGGAATTAATCATGACAGTTTCCAGGGGGAACCGCGAGGAGGTCGACCCGGTTGGATATATTGCTAGCAATGTGATTCTTAGTCTCCATTACTAACAATCCCTTTCCCCCCATTACATATATGTTGAGCCATAAATGGTTTACACGTTTGCGTAATTACCCAATTGGTTTTTATATATGTAAAATAAACAAAAAAAAATTACTAAGTTATAAATTTTTATAAGACACCAACAACTTTTTTGCAACTTAGAATGGCAATCAAACTGACGGCCCACCTGATGGAAAGTGGTAACCGTCGCCTATAGACATGAGCAGTACCATGAACATAACAGAGTATACTGTTTCGCCCATGATACCTCCCCCCAACGTATGGAACGTTGCCATTTCTGAGGACTAAGGTGTTATTCCTCTGTACCCTGTAAATTCACTGCCATATACAGCCACACACACCCTTCAAACCGAAACACAACTGCTTCACGGTAGAAAAACTAATGGGACAGAGGTGCCCAAGCAATTGACTTTTATACAAAGTCTACCTCTGGTATGGTTGTATGATATTTTAATATTATTAATATTATTCCTTATAATTATAATTGTAAAGTATGTGTTACTGTACTGATGCTTTCCTGGGGCGTATTGGGACACTGTAAAGCTCACCCAGTTGATCAAATAAATAAATCAATAAGAATATATTTAAAAACAGAAACTATTATTTACTTATAAAATATTATATTTATTTATTTATTCATTAGTACAAATATGTGTACATGGCGGACTTAATGCTAAAAGCATTCTCTCCCAGTCAACCATAGGGAAGTGTCAGAATACTCGAATGCGGTACTACTAATTATTGATGTACATACATACTGAAATTACATATATAAACGAATAAATATATATGAATAACAAATATACTTACACATATATGATATATACCATATTATACACGAATTTGGGAATAATATAAAGCACTTATTGCTCGGATAAAAATAAAAAGTGAACGTGAACGCTTTTTTTGAAAGACGGTTTAATCGGTAGTCTCTTAATGGCATCAGGAAGCGCGTTCCAGAGTCGTGAAGAATGTAGGAGAAAAGAGTTTGAAGCGTAACCAGTACGGTGAGAGGGGAAAGATAATTAAATATAATATTATCTATTAAAATAGATATAAATAAAAATCAATTGTCGAATGTACTCGTATGTATGTGAACGCATCACTTTAAAAGAGCTGCAGATATTTGGCTATTTTTTTGTTTTGAAAGTTGAAGAAAGTTTGTATGAAAGGATTTTTTGATAAAGTGTTTAATAAAAGTGCTCGTAAAATACGTAAATTACTCGTTGTAAAATACGTAATTTTGTAAAAATTTTGATACGTTATGGAATTTATTATATATTTAAATAATTTCTTAAAAAATCAGCTTCAATTGTGACAAAACCAATTATTTTGATTTATACAATAAAATACTAAACCGATTTTGATAAAATTTCTATGGAACCAATCTGTAAGTATATCCTTTCAGACAAAAAATAAATATTCCAAAACGGTTTATAACTGACATAGTTATAAAGTAACAAACATAAAAAAAATTTAACGAATTGACAACATCCTTTTTGAAGTCATTTGAAAATATCCGGAGTCCGGATTCCGGAATTCTTTCAATGTCCGGATTCTTGTTGAAAATTTTCAAATTGCGAAGTGACAACCCTATCTACGCCTACAGTAATAAAATGTAACAATGGCTTCACGTAGTTTATTACCTACGGTGTTTATGTGAAAATATGGCGCGCACGCAAATTACCGTGGTAATATAAATCAAACAGGTAATATTCATTGCGTATCATATTACTGTAGCAATTTAGAGCATATTTGTGATTTAAATAACCGTAACTGCCGTATGGTCCCGACTTATTTTTTTTTATACAACTTAGAATGGCAAACAAACTGACGGCCCACCTGATGGAAATTAGTAACCATCGCCTATAGACATGAGCAGTACCATGGACATAACAGAGTATACTGTTTCGCCCATGATACCCCACATGCGTTGCCATTCCTGAGGACTCAGGTGTTATTCCTCTGTACCCAGTAAATTCACGCCATATCCCACCCTTCAAACCGAAACACAGCCATGCAAACACAATTGCTTTACGGTTAAAACACGAATGGGACAGAGGTATCCAAGCAATCGACTTTTGTACAAAGTCTCCCTTCCCTTAGTCGACTCTTATGACACCCACGAGAAAGGGGTGGCCTATTCTATGCCGGGATCACATAGCGAATGCCTAATTCAAGAGCAATTCTGAAACCTCTGGAAATTTTGATTAAAAGGTGCTAGGCCCTAGCAGCTCTAAGTAGCTCTAAGTAGGGTTGCCAAATGCTATTGTTGATATTTGCACAAATGTCAAAATGTTTTCCCCCAAATTAATACGGTTTCGTTCACTTTTACCCAATCATTAATTTGTGTAGATCTTCACAATTTCATTTTACTATGTAACATGAAAATAGGCGTCCTTATAATACACGTTAAGTAATGTAAGTAGGTATAAAAACAACTTAGTATGTATAAATCATTCCAGAATCTTGCAATGTAATTAATTTTCCTGCCTTATTGACATTATTATGGAGAATAATTTCATTATCAGCTATTAAATCTAGTTAGCAGCTGTTAATTTAGCTCTCAAGCAAGACGCCGAATAATATAAATCAATCAATCAATGCAAATTAATGAACGAACTTAAACTAACTGATATACAGGAACACAATTGCATAGTCGAAATACCTTTTAACATTAATTTCAATATATTAATCCTGTAAAGGTGAGTACACACTAAACATTTACCGTGTATTTTTATTTTATTTTAGCTCAAAACCAAATGCTTCGAGAAAAACGGGTTCAATTTTGTTCATACAATTTTGTGTAATAGTTATGAGTGGTTCCTTTATAACTTCTGTATTTTTTTGTTTTATAATTTTTACATCTTTTTATTTATTAGATAATTAAATATAGACACGTCAATATACATTACATGCGTAAGTATATAGAGCTTTGATTAAAAAAACGAGTCGGCTAATTTAAATTTGAGCCGTTTTTGAAACTTAATGCTCTATAACCTAAGCCTGTATCCTGCTCCATCTCATATAGTACGCGTATACGAAATTTGATAGTAATTAGTTAAAACAGCTTTTCCCAAAGTGGGCGATAACGCCCCCTTGTGGGCGCTGGAGGCCTAAAGGGGGGCGGTAAGAGACCCAGAAAAAAATTTATTAATTTACACAATTTACACAATAATTGATCAATTTAATTTGAAGTAATAGTGATTTTAAAGTGGTTTAAAAAAAATGGGGGCGCTAAAAAATAATTTATTCTCAAAGTGGGCAGTAGACAAAATAAGTTTGGAAACCCCTGAATTAAAACAATAACCTTATTCATAATAACGTCAAACCTGTCATAAAACTACTTTATGTTACGACGAACACAAACAAGAACATTCGCAAGAAAGTTGCATTGAACCACAAAATTGTTTTTACTTGTATCGTTCGTGAGATATTTACACTCTAGTGTGTACTCACCTTAATGCAAGTATTGCATATCGTATAGAATAAATTTCTTAACAGAATCAAATATCCGGAAACACTGTATAGACGAGCGAAAATCCGGACGAAACCGGACGGACGGTAACCCTATGGGTGCCAAGTGACTCAAGTGGTAATTTATCGGTCATTAGTCTATATGTCGACTTAATTAACTGTTCACATTAGATTACATTATTTAATTAACATATATGATTAGTGTAACTAAACTATTTTTAGTCTTTATTTAATTGTTTAACTCATTTTATATGTAACTAGATTTTTGTCCGATACTTCGTACGCGTGGATTTCAGAAGTAGAAAAACCAACGAATTAGACCACTGGAAATGGGCGTATTTGTAATGGGAGATATTTAAAAAAATCTTATACTCGTAAGAGGTGTGTTTCGGTTTGAAGGGTGGGATATGGCGTGAATTTCCTGGATACGGAGGAATAACACCCGAGTCCTCAGGAATGGCAACGCATGGG